TTTCTCCAGTTCTGGGGACTAGAAGTCCAAATTCAAGGCATTGGCAGGGCTGTGATCTCTCCCTGTGGGAGAAGGTCTAGAGGAAGATCCTTCCTTGTCTTCTCCAACTTCTGTAGCCCCAGTGGCATTCCTTGACTTGTAGATGGATCCTCCCATGCTGTCTTCTCCCTATATGTGACTCTATTTCCATGTCTGTCTGTCTCCTTTATGAAATGTTACTCAGAAGGGATTAAGACTAGGACCCACCCTACTCTAGTATAACTTTCTTAGTTTAACCGATATCATCTGCAAAGAAAAACCTTATTTCTCCAAACATGATTACATTCACCATTGCAGGGGTTAGGACTTAAACATATCTTTGTCAGGGACACAATTCAGTCCATAACAACACTCATGAGAGCATGAGAATGAAAAAAGGCAGATAATGTTTTAGTGTTATGAAAATAGTTTTGACCTCCCAGATCCCCTGAAAGGGTCTTTGAGAGCCCTGAGGGTCCCCAGACCATACTTTGAGAACCACTGCACTAGAGAAAGTGTTGCAGAACAGAGGACAACCAGATTCATATTTATTGGTTTACTGATTCCTAAAAAGCGCAGAGCATGTGTATATGATTTATGCCTTATTCTCTGTAAACTCTGGACTCCAGGTTTTTCATTTATTCATTCTTTCATTCAACAGCCATGTGAGTGAGATTCTTTAAGTGCCTACTGACACTGTAGGGTTGCAATGAGTCAGAATTGACTCGACAGCAATGGGTTTGTTTTTTTGTTTTTTTGTTTTTTTTTTACCATCACCGTATGGGGCTCTGGGAATACAAAGGAATAAGACATAGTTTCTGACTTTTAGGAACTCATGGTGCAGTCTAGAAAGCAGAAATGAAAATAAACAAAAGTAGTACAATGATACTGTTATAGTACAAAAATAGAGCAGGGTGCTTGGGGGAGCAGAGAGGAGAGAGCAGCATGAAGACAACTGCCAGGCTTCAATAGAGGAAGCTCTTCCACCTGAGCTATGTCATAAAGCTAGCAAAGGAGAAGGGCCACAGCAGGAAAAAGGACTGTTCAGAAGCTCAGAGGCATGTTGCTTTTGATTAATCAAATATTTCGATATAACTAAATATAGGATAGGAGTCCTGGTGGTGCAACTGTTAGCACTCAGCTGCTAACCAAAAAGTTGGCCTTTCAAACCCACCCAGCAGCTCCACCAGAGAAAGACCTGGCCATCTCCTGTAAAGATTACAGCTAAGAAAACCCTATGGGACAGTTCTATTCTGTCACACAGGGCTTCTATGAGTCGAAAATCAACTTGACGGCACCTAGCAACAACAACAAAAGTATAGGGTACAACTGGGTAGTGACAAAAGATGAATTTGAAGAAATAGTTAGAGTCCAGATTGTGAAGGGTTTTCCTTATTAAACATTCTACAGAATTTGGACATCATTTTCTGAATGAGTGCTTTTCAGACTTTAGTATGGATAAAAATCACTTAAGGAGCTTAATAAAAATACAGAAGCCTTTCTCCCACGTTCTGATTCTTTAGGTCTGGGGTATGGCTCAAGAATTCCTTAATTCATTCAGCAAATATTTATTGAGCTTCTACTGTGTAGCAGTCAAAGTCTTAAACGTATTGGGAATGTAGCATCATATAATAGAAGACATTTGGGGATGTTTTCGTGGAATTTCCTTACAAAAGTAATTCTGATATAAGTGGAACAGGGAATCCACATTAAGAAACATACTTGTATATGATGGCAAGGTGTTGAAGAATTCTAAACACAAGAATGATGTAGTCCGGTTCATGTTTTACGGAATCACTTTGCATACAGAAGATGGATTAGAAGGGTGTGAGACCACAGATAAAAGAGTTAGGAAGCTATTGAACCAATTTAAGAGTATTAATATTCAGGGTCTGAGTGAAGACAGTGGTAGGGGGGACAGAGAAAAGTGGCAAGACTTAGAAACTGTTTCTGAAGTAGAATCAGAATAGCAGAATTTGATGATCTATTGGTTGGGGAACAGTGTTCACAGATTATTTTCAAACTGTTATTGAAATTATTAACCTAGTTAAATAGTTTCATTGCAGGGATTTTCATCCAGGAAGAGAAGATGTAAGAAATGATTTTAAAACAACTGTGCTTATGATAAGGAAAAACTAGAAGATATTTTAACAGCAGTGTTCTGGAAGGAAATTTCAAAGCATTTTACCTTTTTTGAAGTATTTAGTAAATGTTTTCATTATTCATAAATAAAGTCATAGCTACAGAAAAACTTTAAAGCTCTTATAACCCCAGCCTTTCATTTTATGGATGAAGAAATTTAGACCCAAGAGAGGAAGGGACTTGCTCTAAGTCACCTAACTTGTTGGTTCCAGAGCCATCAATATCTCCTTTCTTCCAGGTCAGAATTCAGACTACTAGTCAGGTGCATACAGTCCAAAGCTCCAATTTTAACCAATGAAGTCTCTGCCCTCATTCTTATTTTTCTAGGGACACCAATCTGACAAAATCATAATTTATGGATTTTGAGGATAAGAGCCTGGGTGAATTACACCTTGTGTAAGAACTTCTTTCTGTGCTAACTCAAGACAAGTATGGATTGTGGGATTTTAGCTTAGTTCATTTTTCTTCTTATCTTTAATTAGAATATACTACATTTACCAAATATAGTAGTTCCTGAAATTTTTTTTATCAGACACTTTTGAGAATCTGATGAAAGTGGTAGACCTTGTCCCCAGGAAAATGCACATTACCAATCAAATTTATGTACTCATATTCCATAAAAAATTCTTAACTATGCAAAGGGTGTCATTTCAGTGTTTTATTTTATAATATAATTTGAGAAATAATAATCACTTTACACATAAACTCAGTAATCTGTTATGCGGAGTAAGATACAAGCAATTCATTCAGAACTAGTTAATTTAGAGTTCCCTATCAAAGGGTTACTTTGTGAAACATATGTCAGTTTCTTCATCTTTTTGGTACTGTAGCACTATCATCAGTTTATTGAGGATAAATTACAAAAAAGGTAGCCATGAAGCCGCTTATATGACATTTTATTTGTTCTTTAAACGTGATAACACTTTTATTTGCATACAAACATAGCAACAGCGGTAATACTTATTTGTGTCTAATTGTAGCACATACCCTTTTACTAAGCTATTATTTTTGAGACTGTGTAGCATCTTATTAGCTTATCTGCAACACCTTTATTAGTGAAAATAATTCAGGATGTGTTTGTTTCGTGGTTTCTAGAGGATTGTCCCCTCCCCAGCTGTGACAAACAAATCCAATTAATTAGGTCATGCACAATTCTGAGGCTCTTTTTGGTAGATACTGGGAGCCACAAACGGTTGAGGGTAGGTGAGGATTAGCTATTGGCCTACAACCTTGCTGCCAGTTATGATGAAACCAAATTCTACTACCAACACAAAAAAAATTAGCAAGCAGAGATAAAAACAGTTGCACAGCCTGTTTTGTAAGCTCATTGCAGTCCCAGTGCTCTGTCCTTTTGTGGTGCTACAACAGAACCCTGCATAAAAGATTTACCTGAAGCAAATGCAACAGTATTTCAGTGGTAAAATCTAGCAGGCCCTCTGGTTAGCCCATTTGCCCAAGATCCTCTGAACTAGCAGCTGAGGACTCAAAGCCACATCAATCCTGGGGGTGAAGGGCTTGCTAGATTCTTATATTATGGTTCACATGAATATTAGTAATACGTTTTAGCTAATTTTGTATGTTGACCTCCCCTAGTTTAATCTATGAAAATCCATGTCAAATATTCATTATGCAGAAATCAACAATATTTGATGCTGATCAGAGATTAGCTGAAGCATTTAAGTCTGAAAGTATGGCTTTGATCAAATGCTAAGTAACCAACCACTTTGTTGTGTTAATATTCCCAGTTAGGACAACTAACTGCCTCTAAAGTATACAACAAAATGTACACATTTGTGTCACAGTGTCTATGCTGAAATGTTTCAAAGCACATTACAGACCACATGCCACCACCTCTATTTTCATTCTGTGGTATTGTAATTTGGGAATTTCTGTACCATCTTTTCCCTCCCCTTTCCATTTGAGTTACTAGTTTTTGGGTAGTTTAAGTTGCATTCTCCTCCTTTTCTCAGACAGGGATATTTTCTTAACACATAAATGAATAAACTTGACTACCTTTCTGTCACTCCTACTTTAAAAATTTATCTTTTATTTTTAAACATATATTCACTGAAGAAAATATGGAAAATATAGAGAAACAAACACGAGGGGAAAAAAATTGCCTGTTATCCCACCATTCAGCAATAATCATTATTTATGATAGAAATTAAAACCTGTCTATTTTTCTGTATATCTACTTACATTGAAAAAGCAAAACCTTGGAGATCTTATTTTATCATCTAACAATATGACATGGATATATCCTTGACTTATGAACTATTCAACAATGTGGTTTTTAATAGCTGCATAAGATTCCACTGTATGGATAGACCATAATTTATTTAAACAATTCCTTATTGCTGGACCTTTGGAATACCTCCAGTTCACCATTAAAGACATTGCCAGACTAATTCCTTTCCTGCTTCTTCAGACCTACTTACTTATTTACTCATTATTTCCTCTGTCATTGGGTGTTAAAATCCTGATCTCCTTTTCCTTCTTTTTAGGCTAAACCCATTGCCATCAAGTTGATTCTAACTCATAGTCACCCTGTAGAACAGAGTAGAACTACCCCATAGGGTTTCCAAGGAGCAGCTGGTGGATTCGAACTGCCGACCTTTTGGTTAGCAGCCATTGCTCTTACCCACTGTGCCAACAGGGCTCCTCTTTTTAGGCTAGTCTTATACAATTCTTCAATTGACTTTTTTAAAAAGTTGTAATTTTTAGCTTTTCACTAACATAAGCCTTATAATTGGGTACAGCGAGTAAAACATATTGTTTGGAATCTTTAACACTCTAACTGAATTAATACACCTGCTTGTTTTTAAAAAAATGATTTTTAGGAGTTTATATCCTGGGCAAATATGGACAGAAGAAGATCAGAGAAATACAAGAAAGGGAGGCTGCAGAGTACATTGCTCAAGCACGACGACAATACCATTTTGAAAGTAACCAGAGGACGTGCAATATGACAGGTAAGGCAAAGAGAAATGCTTACATTTGTATATGGTTGCTTGATGTTTGCATGAATTTGCATACCTTCAGGACCAACTTCAGAGAAAAAACACAAAGAAAGAATGATAAATCTTGCAAGTATTTACATTAACTAATTGAACTACATCATTTTAATATGAATTTTAAAAATAAGCATAAATCAGTATTAAATGCTTGTTCATTCATTTTATTTATTTATTCAGCAAGTAGTTATGGTACCCAGCACTGTGGAAACAAGAGGTGAAAAATAAAAACAAAATCCCTGACCTTTGGAGATCATAGCCTAGTGAGACAAAAAGATGATAAACAACAAATAAATAACTTTAGGTGCTGAAGGCTGCTGTAAGGAAAATAAAGCTATGTGAGGGGTGGGGATGCTGTTAAAGATGAGGCCATCAGGAGAGTCAGGTCTCTTTGAGGAAGTGACATTTGAGGATAAACACATAATGCCTCAGGCTGGCATAAGCTTGGCTCATTCAGGATACAGCAAAGAGGCCATGTAGCTAGAGTGGAGTGAGCAATGGAAAAGTGACAGGAAGTGAGCTGCAGAGGCAGGCCTGGTCCCATTGTACCTTGTCGTACTTACCTAGTACTGCTATAAGAGAAATACCACAAGTGGGTGGTCTTAACAAATTTATTTTCTTACAGTTTAGGAGGCTAGAAGTCTGAATTCAGGGCGCTAACTCTAAGGGAAGGCTTTCTCTCTCTGCCGGCTCTGGAGGAAGGTTCTTGTCTCCTTTGAGTTTGTGTTCCTGGGCTGTCTTCATGTGGCTTGGCATCTCTCTTCTCCCATCACTGCTCCTTTTACTTGTTTGTTTAACTTCCTTTATCTCAAAAGAGGTTAATTTAAGACAGTTTACACTAATCTTGCCTCATTAACATAACAAAGATAACCCATTTCCGTAAGTGATAATAGCTGCAGGCTAGAATTTAAGAACACATATTTTGTGGGTACACAATTCAGTCCATAGCAGGCCTTGTAGGTCATAGTAAATTTGTAAATTTTGTAAATTTGTTAAATTTACAATAGGTAACTACACACTAGTAAGCCTAACACAATTAAAAAAAAGAAAAAATCCGTTGCTGTAGAGTAAGTTTCAACTCAGCAAACCTGTAGGACAGAGTAGAACTGCACCATGGGGTTTCCAGGCACAGCTTGGTGGATTAGAACTGCCGACCTTTTGGTTGGAAACCGGCCTCTTAACATCTGTTAATAATATAACCTCCAGAGCTAGAAACCTACTGGGAGGATGGGCATAACAAATTGAACTTGCACAACGTGTCCGTCACTTCCCCTACATGTCTGTTTATCATACTGTGGGGGCTTGCATGTTACTGTGATGCTCAAAGCTATGCCACCGATATTCAAATACCAGCAGGGTCACTCATGGCAGACAGGTTTCAGCTGAGTTTCCAGACTAAGACTAGGAAGAAGGACCCAGCGGTCTCCTAATGAAAGGAGTTAGCCAGTGAAAACCTTATGAATAGCGGTGGAACATTGTCTGATATAGTGCCAGAAAACGAGCCCCTCAGGTTAGAAGGCACTCAAAAGACAACTGGGGAAGAGCTGCCTCCTCAAAGTGGTGTCAACGTTAATGACGTGGATAGAGTCAATCTTTTGGAAACTTCATTTGCTGATGTGGCACAACTCAAAATGAGAAGAAACAGCTGCGAACATCCGTTAATAATCAGAATGTGGAATGTATGAAGTATGAATCTAGGAAAATTGGAAATCGTCAAAAACGAAATGGAATGCATAAAGATCAAAATTCGAGGCATTAGTGAGCTGAAATGAATGGGTATTGGCCATTTTGAATCAGACAATCATATGGTATACTATGCTGGGAATGACACTTGAAGAGGAATGGCATTGCACTCATTGTCAAAAAGAACATTTCAAGATCTATTCTCAAGTACAGTGCTGTCAGTGATAGGATAATGTCCACACCTGCAAGGAAAACAAGTTAATTCAACTGTTATTCAAATTTACACATCAACCACCGAGGCCAAAGATGAAGAAATTGAAGATTTTTACCAACTTCTACAGTCTGAAATTGATCGAACACGCAACCAGGATGCGCTGACAATTACTGGTGATTGGAATGCAAAAGTTGGAAACAAGAAGGATTGGTAGTTGGAAAATACGGCCTTGGCGACAGAAATGATGTCAGAGATCACGACAGAATTTTGCAAGACCAGCGACCTCTTCATTGCAAACACCTTTTTTCACCAACATAAATGGCAACTATACATGTGGACCTCACCAGATGGAACACACAGGAATCAAATCGACTACATCTGTGGCGACCGACGATGGAAAAGCTCAATATCATCAGTCAGAACGAGGCCGGGGCCGACTGCAGAACAGACCATCAGTTGTTCTTATGCAAGTTCAAGTAGAAACTGAAGAAAATTACAAGTCCATGAGAGCCAAAGTACAACCGTGAGTATATTCCACCTGAATTTAGAGACCATCTCGAGAACAGATTTGACACATTGAACACTAATGACTGAAGATCAGACAAGTTGTGGAATGATGTCAAAAACATCATACAAGAAGAAAGCAAGAGGTCATTAAAAAGACAGGAAAGAAAGAAAAGACCAACAGGAATGTCAGAAGAGACTCTGAAACTTGGTCTTGAACATCGAGTAGCTAAAGAAAAAGGAAGAAATGCTGAAGTAAAAGAGCTGAACAGAAGATTTCAATGGGCGGCTCGAGAAGACAAAGTAAACTTGTGCAAACACCTGGAGACAGAAAACCAAAAGGGAAGGACATGACTGGCATTTCTCAAGCTGAAAGAACTGAGGAAAAAGTTCAGGCCTCAAGTTGCAATACTGAAGGAGTCTATGGGGAAAATATTAAACAACGTAAGAAGTATCAAAAGAAGATGGAAGGAATACACAGAGTCACTATACCAAAAAGAATTGGTCGATGTTCAACCATTTCAGGAGGTAGCATATGATCTGGAACTGATGATACTGAAGGAAGAGGTCCAAGCTGCACTGAAGGAATTGGCAAAAAACAAGGCTCCAGGAATTGACAGAATATCTGCTGAGATGTTTCAACAAATGAATGTAGCACTGGGGGCTCACTCATCTATGCCAAGAAATTTGGAAGACAGCTACCTGGCCAACTGACTGGAAGAGATCCATATTTAGGCCTAGTCCCAAGAAAGCTGATCTTACCAAATGTGGAAATTATCGAACAATATCAGTAATATCACACTCAAGTAAAATTTTGCTGAAGGTCATTCAAAAGTGGCTGTAGCAGTATATCAACAGGGAAGTGCCAGAAATTCAAGCCGGATTTAGAAGAGGACGTGGAACCAGGGATGTCACAGGTGATGTCAGATGGATCCTGGCTGAAAGCAGAGAATACCAGAACAACGTTTACCTGTGTTTTATTGACTATGCAAAGGCATGCAACTGTGTGGATCGTAACAGATTATGTATAACATTGAGAAGAATGGGAATTCCAGAACATTCAATTGTTCTCATGAGGAACCTGTACATAGATCAGGAGGCAGTCCTTTGAACAGAACAAGGGGATACTGCGTGGTTTAAGTCAAGAAAGGTGTGGGTCAGGGTTGTATCCTTTCATCATACTTGTTCAGTCCGTATGCTGTGCAGATTATCCAGCAGCTGGACTATATGAAGAAGAATGGAGCAGCAGGATTGGAGGAAGACTCATTAACAATCTGTGACGTGCAGACGACACAATCTTGCTTGCTGAAAGTGAAGAGGACCTGAAGCACTTACTGATGAAGATCAAAGACCACAGCCTTCAGTATGGTTACAGTTCAACACAAGAAAACAAAAATCCTCACAACTGGACCAAGAAACAACATTATGATAAACTGAGAAAAGATTGAAGTTGTCAAGAATTTCATTTTACTTGGATCCACAATCAATGCCCATGGAAGCAGCAGTCAAGAAACAAAAATCTGTATTGCATTGGGCAAATCTGCTGCAAAAGACCTTTTTAAAGTGTTGAAAAGCAAAGATTTCACCTTGAAGACTAAGGTGAGCCTGACCCAAGTAATGGTGTCTTCAATCGCCTCATAGGCTTGCGAAAGCTAGATGATAAATAAGGAAGACTGAAGAATTGATGCCTTTGAATTGTGGTATTGGTAAAGAATATTGAATAGACTATGGACTACCAAAAAAAACAAATAAATCTGTCTTGGAAGAAGTACAACCAGAATGCTCCTTAAAAGCAAAGATGGTGAGACTACATCTCACATACTTTGAAAGTGTAATCAGGAGGGATCAGTCTCTGGAGGACATCATACTTGGTAAAGTAGAGGGTCAGTGAAAAAGAGGAAGACCTTCAATGAGATGGACTGACACAGTGGCTGCAACAATGGGCTCAAGTGTAACGATTGTGAGGATGGCGCAGGACTGGGCAGTGTTTTGTTCTGTTGTATATAGGGTCGCTATGAGTCAGAACCGGCTCGGTGGCACCTAACAACAATTAGCAATCCATGGTATATTCAATATTCTTCACTTTCAGCAAGCAAGATTGTGTCGTCTGCACGTCACAGATTGTTAATGAGTCTTCCTCCAATCCTGCTGCTCCATTCTTCTTCATATAGTCCAGCTGCTGGATAATCTGCACAGCATACGGACTGAACAAGTATGATGAAAGGATACAACCCTGACCCACACCTTTCTTGACTTAAACCACGCAGTATCCCCTTGTTCTGTTCAAAGGACTGCCTCCTGATCTATGTACAGGTTCCTCATGAGAACAATTGAATGTTCTGGAATTCCCATTCTTCTCAATGTTATACATAATCTGTTACGATCCACACAGTTGCATGCCTTTGCATAGTCAATAAAACACAGGTAAACGTTGTTCTGGTATTCTCTGCTTTCAGCCAGGATCCATCTGACATCACCTGTGACATCCCTGGTTCCACGTCCTCTTCTAAATCCGGCTTGAATTTCTGGCACTTCCCTGTTGATATACTGCTACAGC